TCATTCAGTAAATTTGATTTTTTTTTTTTAAATTTTAGGTCACTGACCCTGGCACCACGAAGTACAAATTTAGTGACAAAAATTGTTTCAAAAATTAGTAACCAATTCGTAATAATTCGTAACCACAAATTTGGAATTTGGAATTCAAGTATAACCACCCAAAATCAATTATCCGTTTGCGGGTGCCCTTCAAAATACGGAGAAAAATACGTTTAAATTGTACGTATTTTTTCCTTTTAAACACCATGATACAATCACACGTGATTAAACAATTTAAATAATAAATTAATTACTTTTTATGAATTGGTATTTTATTTCATTCTTATTCGTTATTTAATCATAGTGTTTAGAAGGGAAAAATACGCACAATAAAAAAAAAACAAATTTAGTAAATTTTCTAGTTAGTCCTCCCTTATAAGACGAATTATCATCCCCTCCCACTTCCCCGAAAGAATAATTCTGACTATGCCACTGAGTGAATGGCTTATTGTTGGGAATAGATTAACTTGTATACGTAAACAATAATTTATAAAGGTACGAAGGTAAGTACCAATAATGTAGTCTCTGTACTTGATACAAATATACATATACGTACCTACCTAATACTTATTACTTATTGATAATAATTGTCTACTGATGTGGTTATACAATTATAACCAAATAATATATCATATACATTTGTAATATCTACTTAAAACGTCCATTAGCATTAATGTTTTGTTTAATATTTGATTTTAAATAGGTATTTAATAATAGGTAAGTACCAGCTATATGTAGGTAAATGTAGGTAATAGTGTAATACGCATGGATTTTTATCGAGTTTGATGCTGCGTGAAAGTTTTTGAACGTTTTTACTTTCCTAAAAAGTCTAAACCTAATAAGGAATGTTTAGAACAAAAATAATACACAACATTGTAAAACCAATAAAGCCTCCTCTAAATCTAATAATCGATTTCATTTTATCAAATAGGTACCAAACTTGTATTTTAACAAGAGAAAACACTCCAAATATCTATATGATGGTGTATAGGTATAGGTAGTACCGACTTTGTACCTACATGAAACTTATTATTACATTATACTTTTATCATTTGAAATTCCGTTTAAAACGAATAATCTGTTCTATTTGCCATAATTTACGACGATACTCCTAACTTTACTATTATATTGGTAGGTATATAGATTATATTTTCTTATTTGCATTTATTTTATTGCCTGTATCAAAATTGTTTTTTTAAATTGTTATTGATATAATGATATGTGAACTATTTAATTTATCTATTCTATTTTCCATTATTTTTATATTTATCTTGATAAAAATTATATTTTTTATCTTTATCTGTATCTAGATAATTAATTGTTTGATATCTAGACTCAACAATATAGTCCAAAGTATTTAGTTATTCATTCTTATAAGTATAAGATTGTCGGTTAAAAATGTTTCCCAGAGAAGTACCTACACATAAAATTACCAAATTGTATTATGCACCTACGATAAATATAATAGTCGCACGCATCTTAGGCACTGTAAACAAAATATTATTAAATTATATATTATTGATATAATAGGTACCTACATTGTATATCATGAACTTTTTCTAGCAGTATTGTATAATATTTGTACATTTATTATTTGTATACCTACCCAAATATGTATACAACTTTTAAAAAAATGAATAATATTTAAAATTGTAGGTAACTAGGTGGTTAAATATTACCAAGGAGAAATGTATTATGATTTGAAAAAAAACAAATGCAACCTGAATATTGTAACAAACAATTAGTAAACGTATAATTATACTTTTCAATAACTAAACAATCGTATTATTGAATTATACTTTGAATTTTATTTCATTTTATTTTTCAATGATTTAAATTTATGGGATTAATATTTAATGTAGGTATAGTCTATAGTCTATACTCTATACTCTATACTTCAAAATGTGATAACTAATCAAATACTTAAATATTAAAACGTTAAACCATTAAAATGTGTACGATGTATGTATCTATTTAAAACAATTATTAATAGTTATACAATATTGTGAAAAACTAACAACAAATAGTTTATTGTCCATCAAAAGAAGAAAACCCACAATCATAATACTATATTTCCATAAAAAACATTTTCGTAATTTCAAGGAATTTATGTTACACAAAGTTGCTTTGATCGTATATTCATATGTTACATACGAAAATAGTTTTAAACTATTATTATATACCTAATATGAAACAAATTAGTTTAAAAATACAAAGTTAAAAAACTTCTGATTGACAACATCGTAGGTACCTAGGTATTATGTTAAGTTCTATTCTATTTAAAACACTAAGAACATAATTCAATTACGATTTAAGAGTAGTAAATTTAAAAAATAAATTAAATAAATGTGCCCACACCTATTCATATTTCCATAGTTAGATAACTTGTGTAAGTATTACATACAATGTAATTTGCTTTATTCCCCACACATTTGTATTATAAAGTAAGTAAGTACCTGATCTTAGATTGGATACGGCATCGGTAAGCATAATACAACATAAAAAAAACTATATATGTCACCGCGCTAACTAGCGATCAAATTGAGCAAGGTCGGTTCTTCACGGATATTGAAAAGTTTAAAAAAAGAGCAGTAGATGACGCTACCATTATCGTCAGAAAGTGTGGACCAATTGACCAAAGTTTATTATATGAATAATCTAGTCTCGAGATGAACTGGAAAGCATAATATACTACATAGCATAAATAAATGCATAATATTAGCTTTTGCGCCTGTTGGGGTAGGTTAAAATTAGAATTAGAGTTAAGGATCATAAAATGATTAAATAAATATTTTTAAAAATTCAAAAAATTGGAGCCCAGTAAGGCCTTCCGATAGTAACACGAGAGTAAGGAAAATCATCAATTTGTATGAGTTTTTTTTTTATCTACATCCCGTAAATGATGACCATTAGCTGTGTCTAGGGGAAAATGGTTGATTTGAAACACGTATTTGTAGCGTGGCAAGGGTGTGTTGCTAAAAAGTAAAAACCCGGGTGGTCACTAATCCGAGTGCTAACAACGACCAGCCGGTTCATACAAGCTCAGAGCATTGCCGCCAATTGGGCGTATGACCGCGCTGCACCAAACCACGTTTTAGTTTTTATAATACCCATGATGTGAAAATAATAATCCTGACATCTGCTGTTAATGGCAATAAAACAAATTTGAAAAAATTAAAAAATTATTTGGCAGTATGATATACATAACTAACCTATGCTCGAATTAATTACAAACGTTTTAGTCATATCCAAAATTTGAAAAAATGTTAAATAGGTACTGTTTCGTAAATTATCTAATATATTATATTTTTTGATTCGTTCGATCATCCTTCCATCGCAAATTTATAATACAAACAAAATACATACCTATAAAGAATTCGGCAGCAACTGGTCTCGTTAGACCCTTACATAAAAAAAAATTAACATTATAACATTTTGTAGATGTTATAATAATATGTGTATTATATAAATGAAATGAAATGTTTTGGATATCCACTTAGGTGAAAATGAAAAAATTGAGTAATACACCAACAGGGACACAATATTCAATAATAAACTACAACGGCAACATCCATTTTTAAGTCCTTAAATCGATCATAGTATAAGTAGGTATATACAAGGCCGGAAAAGCACTTTTAAATTGTTTTTATTTTAAGAAAAATGTATGAAAGGCCAATTTTGCATTTTCAAATATTTAACTTATACAGATGTCATACAAAGCTTTTCTTCAATCTCAAAAATAATTCAATAAATTTGATGACCATGTATATTTTATAATTTTATTGGATACATTTAGCTAGTCACTTTCTATAAACATATTGTCTAGACAGTAACAAAATATCTTACTTATTTTATAATAATTAACATATATAATATAATATTATATTATATTATATTATACATATTTATATTAATAAATAGGTACATTATTTATACTAAACATGTCCAAAAATTTGAGTAGGGACAAAATATTATAATATCCTAAACAGAAACAAAAGCCTTTAAAATTTCACTTTTCATTTAATATCAAACAAACATTTTGTACAGTTTAAATCGAGAAAAATATTCATCTCTCCCAATATTTTATATAATTGTCATCCTAATTATACTTATACATAAATAATATTGACAAATAAATTGATATAGGTAACCAATATTTAATATTGTAAATTATTACATTTTACTACTTACTACTAATTTATTAACATGCTAGTTTCACTGTTTTAGATAAAACAATTTCAATTTTACAATTTTTGGTTTAAAAAACATTTTATTATAACAATTTAAAATTTTAATAACAATCTATATTTAAATTAAATAAAAACAAAAATAAATATCTAATGATAAATCATATATTTTATCAAATAACTCAGTAATTATTATTTTAAATAAATATTTTTTCTTATGATCTAGGTTAAATAATACAGTTTTTATAAATTAATTATTAGAAGTTAAACTATACCATAATACATTTAAGTATTCAACTTTTAATAATTAATTGTTATATCACATAACATTCTTTACCAAATTCAAATATTTTAAAAATAAAGGTTTTTAACAGATAGAAATTTAATTTCCCACCGAAATTTGACAAAAAATAAAAATTAGTTCTATAATATTGGTGTTGGAACCACCTCTCATAACTATTAAGAGGTTTGAGGATTAAGTTAAAAAATTAATCATTACCTAATAAGTACTAATAAATGAGTATATAAACATAAAATGTACATTACAATATAATGGTCAAATCTGTACAATAATTATAACTTATAATATTTCAACTAAAAAATATTTGTCTACCAACTGACTAAATTATAATACTTCCATAATTATATTATATTAGTTTACCTTCTTATAAAATTTTTCAAAATTGGATGGGGTACAATAAAAAAACACTAAATCTTTGTTATATCACTTTACAGTAGGTGCACATAATTACTAGTGGTCAATATATTATACCACTTTTAAAAAGAAATGTAATTTAACATTATTTATAAATAAGTTTATAACGTTGAATAATAAGCTTTATGTCACTGATGATTTGGCATCATACCATGTTGTGGTCCCATAGCTGACATTGGAACATTACCATAGTTGTTACAACCAGGTCCAACCATATTTGGATTTTGTCCAACCATATTAGGGTTCTGCCCAACCATATTAGGGTTCGGCCCGACCATATTTGGGTTTTGTACAACCATATTGGGGTTCTGCCCAACCATATTAGGATTTGGACCACCCAAATTAGGATTTGGACCAACCATATTAGGATTTTGATTCATCATGTGTTGTCCCATTAAAGGTGAAGGAACTGGACCTCCAGGAGTCATTTGCGGATGCATGTTCATAGACGCAGGTGACATTTGTGGTTGGGGTTCGGATGGAAGAACAAAGTTTGACATTAAATCTCGAATGGCTGGAAAAATAGAACATTCATTGTGATTGAGAGCAAATTCAGCAAACCTCTTCATATGAAGACTAGCAGCAGATATTGCTGATGCTGGACCAGCGTCTCTCTTTTCAGCAAGTTGTGTAAGATTAGTAGCAGTATCATACACCAGAGGTAAGACTAGTGAAGGAACTTCATTACTATTGTATGTTATTCCAATTCTAGTGATTTGTAAAAAAAATAAAATTTTGTTTCTACAAATCAAAAGTGCTTCTTTGCCAACAGGCACAATTGGAGTTGCTGATGGTGGTATTCTTAGACACCATTGAACTGTCCATTTCATTTGTTGTTGTTGAATAAGTCCAGGAATCATTTCTAATTTGATTATTTGTATGAAGTCCTTGAGTACTGTATACGGGCAATTCAACATTCTAGTGAACCCAAGTAATGTATTTGGCTTACAAGGTGGTATTGCTACTTTACTTTCAAAAAACTTTTCTAAAATATTTAACTCTTCGACATTCCATGGATCTTTTTGTTCTGGAATACATGATATTTTTAAATGTAATGACTGGAAATGTTGCATGTTAATAAAAGCTCGACATTGCAATGTTTCAACTTTGAAATTTACAACACCTGGTTCGGAGGAACTCAGAGCAATCAGATTTTCTTCAGTTTGAACAAATCTTTGTAGATTTCTTCTCATATAAACACAACCTAAAAATCTTTCTAAAGGACACTGTTTGGGAGCAGGGAGTCCTTGTGGATGTGCTGTTGGTGTACATAATGCATTCAATGCTTCATGAGTAATAATGGTAGGAACTGCCCCAGCCCAAGACTTTTGAGGAAGCACTCTAGAAGTATGGCCGTATCCACTCTTATGATCAGGACTTTGTAAAGAATGTCCCGCAGGTGATTGTCCCTGAGCTCTAGCTGGAGACAGACGAGGTAAACCGGGAGAACCAGGCCAATTTGATGCAGCAGGTGATGTCATGCTTTGAGATTGAAATGGACTCACTTCTGGTGGATGTGTACTAGAACTCAATCCAAATCCTGAGCCTGGTCCTGGTGATGAGTTTGGTAACATTCCTGCTGGACTAGGTACATGTAGAGGGTTAGAAGGAGAACTAGCTAATAAACTTGAACCTGGTGAAGGGTGTGGTAACATTGAAGGGGAAGGGTTAATAGCTGATGGTGGAGATGCCAAGTTAAATGATGTCACCGGGCTATTGTTAAATTGCTGTTGTGAATTTTGAGACATGCTCGACACACCCACTGCAGGATGTGGACTTGCTGGTGTATGCGGATTACTTCCAGGTGTTGTGTTACCAGTAGAGTGAAACCGTAAACCTTGTGCAGGTGACTGAGGGCCTCTATGCGAGGAACTCAAAAAGTTACCTTCCACATTATCCATAGTGATTGGTGAAGGAGGGTTATCATCTTCAGACTGTGATCGTCGTCTAAACACATTTGTCTCGTCTACATATTTGGATAAAAATGCTTTTAATCCCGGTGTTGGTGTATACTCAGAAATTACAGACGTACGATCATATCTACTATAAGCTCCATCTCTAATGCTCACTAAATTTCCCCACCGTAATGTGATTTCTAAGCAATACTGTCCTTCATAAATAACTTTAAGTAAATTTGTTGAATTAGCGACTACTCCAAATGTAATCACTGGTACTTGTGGTCTGACTTGTAGAACACAAAGTTGTGGTATTGATGGTAACTTACAAATAGCAGTAAGGGGGTTTAGCGTATCAAGCATTTCATGTATAAGCAAAGATAGCTTTTTATTGTTGTTCAAATAACCTTCAAATTGTTCTTTAATTAAATTATGAGGATTAATGCTGCTATTTAGAGAGCCGAACACTATATTAAATTTACAGCTTGATGAATTCCATTGAATAGTGGCTGTAGAACGTCTATGAGTACCATATCCTATAACTAGTTTTAAATAATTATAACTCTTTATACTAATCATTGATGCTAAGTTATTTTTTTCAGATTGTAAGTAAGGTGACAAGTCTTCCACTAAAAAGTATAAATGTACAATCTGGGCCCAATCATTCAAAATTGTTTCTACTGTTTTTGCCATATTTTCAGCAACACTGACATCATAATTAATGTAAACTGGTCGCCTAGCTCCTTGTTCTCGACTATGTCTACTAGGTAAGGGACTTCCATAAAACACATATTCAGTCGTCCAACATCGAGTTGAGCCTTTACCATATACACGTATCGATATGGACAGGAGTCGCTTGCATAATGATATCCATTTGGGATTTGTCGCTTCGATACCAGATGGAGGTGGTAATGATAAAATTTTTAAAACAAAAGTTGTAGCATTTGCTTCAACTTGAACACCTTGATTACTGATACCACATTTTGTTAATTCTTGAGCTAGTACAGTAAATGGCAGTCGTTCGTCACACAAGGCTACAATATGGGCAAGTTCTGGTATAAAGTAAGCTGGATGTTTAAGTAATTTCCTTGGTTTATCTGGACGCACAATAACCCTTTTACGACTATTTGGATCCATTTTTTCTTGGTCTTCTTCAATAACAGCTGTAAATGGACCATGTGTAGCTACAAATTTTTCAATTGTCAATAGTGTCATAACCTTTAGATACATTTTTGGTATGTCTACCTCAATAGTTTCATCATTAGGATTATCTTCAATTGATGATTTTTTGACATTAGCTAGATAAAACTTATACTCAATTCTACAAGGAGATTTTTCATTTTCAGCAAACTCAACAATCAATATCATATTTGAAATTTTATGCAATTTTATATACATCCGATGTCGACTTATTTTTGACATAGGATGATCCGCATGATGTAACAATGGTAATCTTTCATAAGCCGTTCCAGGAAGATGTTGTAAAGTTGTTTCACATCGACGTTGAGTAATCCAAAATCTTAAATCACTTATAAGTAAAGGTACCTTACTATGCTCATTATTCAGTGCTTGCTGCAATACAACCATACTGGGAGGACTGAACTCAGGAACATGGCATTGAAGCATACCAGTATGTGTGTCAACCGTTATCAATAATTGTTCAGCCCGTAAACATGGATTAAGTATTGCAACTGATAAAATTGAAGGTGAACCTTGTAAAGTGCATTCCACATCTTTTAACAAATTTTCTAATTCTACTTTTAGTTCAGAAAGACGTATTTTTGTACGTACGTGAATTGTATGTACTAATAATCTTTCCATTGATAATGAATCCGTACCAATTGACTTTTCTGTTATCTCTGCATCTTTTGTACCAAGAGATGGCGAATGTAAAATACCTAATGGCTTATTAGGCTCTTTATCATCTACATAGATTGTCAACGAGTATCCAAATTGTTCAGATACACTACGCGAAAGTTCTCTCCAATAAGAAACTACTAGACACTTACCAGCTGTATACTCTGTTATGTGTATATGGCCTTCGAGTCGATCTTTATACAAAGCTCTGGTTTGTGAAAATAGTACTTCTAACTGCAAAGATTGACAAAAATAGTGTAAAACCATATAGACTTGAGTCAATGGTTCACCTCCTGTACTACAACATTCCAATAATCTTGCTTGAACAACTTGGTGAATATATTGCACCTGACGCGGATGTACCAAGGGTTTTCCTTCTCCAGTTTCTTTATCTTCAACCAATATCGAAATGTCTAATAATCTCCATGGTATATTCGGGTTGTCTCCCATCAGCGTTAAGGAAACTTGAAACTCATTTTCCACTCGAAACGTTACTCTGCCGTTGGCTACTTTTTTGCAACTCATTTCATTAATTAAATTACTGCAAACCATTCGGTGTTGAATAACTCTATTAAGTTGAAGCAATGTCTCACGTTTTTCAGCTGGTGTGATTTTATCTGGGGGAACAATACGTTCACGAATACAAGCCGGTAACCGTGAAAAAGTGCCTGTAGTTAGAACTTCAACTGCTGATGGTATATGAAAATTGGGCAATCGAGCAGAAACAACAGTCTCACGAGCAACTCGAGATAACATGTCAGCAGTGTCTATAAACAACAACGACTGTTTATCAAGAAATCCCATTATTTGAGTTGATTTATCTACTTTGGAAGCACTATTAGCCCATTTTACTAGGGCTAATAACCGAACAAATAGCTGTCTTGTTCGATTTGAAAATTTATAAATTTCAATTTTACGTTCCATGTCAGGTTTACGAGGCAACAATTCAGCAAGAACTGTAAGCTCATGATAAGTACGTTGCACAATAAAGTCAATCAGAACAGATAAAGAAAGAGATCCATCTGGAGGTAAACCATTACTCATATTGGGCTGATTACCTTCCAAAGGTGTTGGTGGCATGGTTAAACCCAAATAGCTTAAATCAATAAATTATCTGAAAAGTAATTAAACATTTGAATTAGTTATGATTTAACTTAAGATTCAGGAAAGATGATATAATAATTGTTTATTTTAAGTGGAGAGAAATTTTGTGATCTGAGGTAATCAATAAGGTGATATATAGAACGAAAATGCAGTTACATTAATGCATTGTCTAAGTAAAGATGTAATATTGAATAATTTAAATAACTTGGTGTTGTACCTGTTAAGATAGTTATTCTGATTGCTTCATTTGAACTGTGAGTCTTATGACATCCCGAAGCAAATATTAACTTTTCTTTTTACATACAATTGTGAAATATTTTGCACCTGAAAGCAAATTAATATTAATAATTTTAGTTTGAATACAAAATGTTCAAATGATTTAAATTTATTTATCACATTATAAAACTTATATATTTAAAGATATTATTCACTAAAATAAATTCATATTAATGTACTTTTCATGATATAGAATTCTTGGATTTTAGTTAATAATTTATATATTTTAACTACAAATTAATATGATAAAAACATATATATTATATCCCTAATTATACATTAGTACAACATATAAAAAAATTTAAGAAAATGCTTAGATAGATAATTAGAAAATTGAGGTTTTGACTATCATTAATCATGATATGATAAAATTTATGTACGAGCAAGTAGGTATAAATATTATCACCAAAAAGTTTATCATGTTAGTAGAAAAAATATAAACAATAAAACCAGAAAATTAAACTACAACAAATTATTTAAGCAACAAAACAATGATTAAATTTAAGCTGAGAGTGATAAAAAAATGCTGGATTACAGTGTCAGATTCTTGAGACTCTGCTGTACATAGTTAGATACAATAAAGTGTACTGTCTATATCAAAAGCAGACAACTAATGACATGGTTTATTTTTTTTGAAACAAAAATTAAAATAACATGACAAAATCAATAATACAACTTTCTACACAAGATTATATAGGTAGGTAAAAATTTTTTTTATTTTAAACAAAAATATTAGTGAGGTATTCGATAATTTTAATTTTCAAATTTCAACAAAATTGTGTTTTGTTTTTAGCAACTTTCACAATGAATAATTCTTAATAAAATAGGTGGTATTTTAAACTGTAAGAGCATTGAACTAAATATCAATAGAAAATGTCAATAAAAAAAAGTAATTATAGCACAAACAATTACCTACATTATACGCTATGATTAGGTAAGGTTTTTCGAAAGTCGGTATCTAAGAGTTTGCGAATGATCGAAACAATACGCGACGTTATAATACTGGAATAATAATACTAACGTCAGCTGCAAATATATACTTACGATTTATTATTTTATTCTTCGTAGTTTCGGTTGTATTATAGTTCTATTTGACTACGTTGACTGGACGGCTGTCGGGATTAAAATTGCGAATAATTATTAGATTATAGATACGTTAAAAACTTAAGTAGTAGCCAATTTAAACTAAATCGTAGAAGACAAACTTAAAAGGCGGCTATAGTAGTTTAATAGCTTCTATATTACACTATTATGCCGCGAAGATCGTAATGACTAGCGAGTCTGACAATATGACTGTGTGAGTGACACACTGACACTCACTATTTCACTCCGTAGTCCGTGGTAGTCCAGAGTAATAGTGTTAAATGTTAATATCACGAAAATACAGTCCACACTCGACGGTAGAACATGACGGTAGATAGTAAACAAAATATTATACATTCGCGGTACTGGTAACTCTGGTATTAGCGCATGGTTATACTGTATTCTGTGGTTGTACTGCGGTAATCAGTACGACACGACAATTGCCCCAATTCGCGTCTATTAGATCGCCAACCAATTACGTCGAACCCGCCGTTTTTAAATTGTCTGTTCGTCCGTCGTTTCCGCGTCTGTTGAGAATTGAATATCACACATTATTACATTAACACTATTTACATTTCGCACTCTTTGTCTTTTAAACTGCCATCTAATGTGCGACGTTTATAAGCTACAAAGCGTTTTCGTTAGAATTCTAGATCTTAACTATTCCACCGTCCCATGGGATTCTGTTGATTAAGATAATAATGAATTAGATTTAAAAAATATATTTGTATAAATGTATAATTTATATTTAATAGCAATTGGTTCGATTATTTTTGACATCTAAGCACTTTGAGACTTTGCGTACTACAAAAATGAAAAAAAAAGTTATAACCGTCTATTTACAATGCTATTACCTACCTATGTATTTTATAGTATTACTACTATATTAAATTATATAGTATTATTATCGATACATACAACTTACACCCTACCTTTAATGCTATGATCAATATCAATATTTAAAAGAAATGTTTTGTATTAGGAGTGTATTGCGTATAGTTTTTAGATCTATGATCTAAATCGTGTGCGTTATTAATACAGTTCTAAATTAAAATGTTCTGTTGTTTAGATATCACTAATTAGAAATTAATTTCTATTTTCTATACATACCTATAGGTACGTCACGTAAGGTTAATAACCATGAAGACTATTAACCTCAGACATAACCTAACCTATATATTAGCTACATTACAGTATGTACCAAATAATACCAATATATTATGATTAATTTTTTTCCATACATCATACTTCTTGAGAAATGGTGTACCTTTATGTATAATATGTTGTAAATTGTTTATTTATAATGAGTTCATCATAATATGGCCCCCCAGTGAAGATAAGATAAGTAAGAAACTCTTATTAGTCGTTTTATCTATGATTTATAATTCATATCTGTACCTGCAACCCAGTCTGTTAATTATTACACATTGTAAACATACTATAATGTTAATTATTTTATAAGAATAATTTGTATAGGTTTTTATGTTCATAATATAAGTAATGAAATATATCACGTAGTTAACTTTGAAAAACAGTGATACATTTTTATTCTCCATTGTAACAATCATGTATACTGTCAAAAAGGTACAGGAATTTATAAATTAGTTGTATTTGAATTTTGATTTATTTATATTTGTATAATCTATAAAGATGCATTTAAGGTTGAGTATACTTATAATTTATGTAAATGTATATGTCCTGACAATATTGTATTATAAAAGACATAATGTTTGTGTATTATTATTTTTTTATTTACAGTGTAAGAAATATTCATAATGGACCCACAAAACGTATTACCAAACTATTGATAGCAAATCGAGGAGAAATAGCTTGTCGTATCATTAAAACAGCACGTCGTTTGCAAATTGAAACTGTTGCTGTTTACAGTGATGTTGACAAAAATGCTATGCATGTGGCTATGGTATAAAAATTACTCTGTTTTATACTTTCAATTAGTAATACAATTATTATACATTAACAAGCTTAAAAATATGTTTTAAAGGCTGATCAAGCAGTACATGTTGGTCCAGCTCAAAGCGCACACAGTTACTTGCTCAAAGACCGTATTGTCAATGCTGCAATCAAAACCAATAGCCAAGCCATACACCCTGGCTATGGTTTTCTATCAGAAAATGCATCATTTGCTCAATATTGCCAGAGTAACAACGTGATATTCATTGGTCCTCCGCCCAATGCTATTGAAAGTATGGGAATTAAAAGGTAATTGATTATGTTTTTTGTATTTTAAATAATTGTATCATCTAAAAACAAATATTTTAAATAATGGTAGTAAGTCAAAAGAAATAATGTCTGAAGCTGGTGTACCAGTAGTTGAAGGATACCATGGCAAAGATCAAAATTCAGATTTTCTTCAACATGAAGCTAATAAAATTGGTTACCCTGTTATGATCAAAGCCATTAAAGGCGGCGGGGGTAAAGTAAGATTGAATTTTCAAATTTGCTTTCTAGATTTGTATGTATTATTATGCTTGTGAAACAAAATATGAATACAAATATTACTATTTAATATTTTGTTTCATTAGGGTATGAAAATTGTTTCCAAAGAATCAGAATTTTTTGAAAATCTTATGTCAGCCAAAAGAGAATCATTAAGTTCATTTGGTGATGATTCAGTCTTAATTGAAAAATATATACAACAACCTAGACACGTTGAAGTACAGGTATTTGCTGATCAACACAAAAATTGTGTCTATTTGTTTGAACGCGACTGCAGCGTACAGAGACGTCACCAAAAAGTCATGGAAGAAGCACCTGCAGTAAGATTCTACATATGATTCAGGCATTGATTAGTTATTAAATTTGTATTAACATGATTATTTTTAGCCCAGGTTAAGTGAGAGTCTAAGACAACATCTTGGAGAGACTGCAGTTCGTGCGGCAAAAGCTGTTGGGTATGAAGGTGCTGGGACTGTGGAATTCATATTTGACAATGCAACCAATATGTTTTATTTTATGGAAATGAACACTAGATTACAAGTAGAACACCCTGTTACTGAAATGATCACCGGGGTGGATTTAGTAGAATGGCAAATTAAAGTATTTTTATTAAATTTAGACATGACTGTGGACATAAGAAAAAATAAACAGTTGTATTGCAGGTAGCAGAAGGCGAACAATTGCCTTTAAAACAGAACGAAATCAAATTCCGAGGACATTCTGTTCAAGCACGTATTTATGCTGAAGATCCTTACAATAATTTTTTACCTGCAGCTGGAAATTTACAATATTTGGACTATCCTATTGTGTCTGATGATGTGCGTGTAGAAACAGGAGTAAGGCAAGGAGATGATGTTTCTGTGCATTATGATCCTATGATTGCAAAATTGGTAGTATGGAGTGAAACTCGATCAGATGCATTAGCTAAGCTGAAAAATAACTTGGCAGCGTTCAATGTAAAAAATATAATTACTTTTATTTTTTATATTGCCTAATATCTTAATATAATGATAACTGATAACTGAAGATTGCAGGTTTGTCGACAAATGTTCAATTTCTAATGTCGCTGTGTGGACATCCTGAACTTTTAAAAGGTAATGTTCATACGGGATTTATAGAACAACATAAAAATGCTCTTCTATCAAAAAATCTACCTAATTCTGAATTGGTTTCTCAGGTAAATGTTATTTATACTTGATTCATTTCTTAAAAATATTATTTATGATGGACTGCTAATTTGTTTATTATTTTAGGCAGTTATTGCTTTAATATTGTATGAAGAAAATAACACTATTAGTACAAATATTCATACCAATGATCCATATTCACCTTTTGCTACTCAAACTGGTTTCCGAGTAAATCACAATTATGTACAAAAAATTAAACTCAAACACAACCTTTGTGGAGGTAAAATATAATACAAAACATACAATTTTAACAATTTTAAAATTATTGTACTATATAATTTGGTTTTGGTTTCAGAACTGTACGATGTCAGAATTGAGTACTGTGGAGTAGGATCTAGTAATAGTAGATTTAATGTTTGTTTTAAAAATAAAGATACTGAAATTGAATCAAATGTTACTGGTAGTTTAGATACATCATCACCCAATAAATTTCATCTAACATGTGTAGTAGATGGCACATTGTATAGATCAAATATTGCATTTATAGAAAACTCAATAAATTTATTCAATAAGGTATTATTGATTATTATATCAACATTTATTTGAAAAACAGTTAAATAGTTGAGAAGTTATAATTTTTTTGTTTTATATTTAGGATGGAAATAATGAATTTACTGTTATTTTGCCTTTTGACGAAAAAACAATTGATAGTAATGAACAAGACATAGAAAGCAATGCAACTATTTTAGCTCCCACCCAATCGACAGTGGAAAGAGTAAATGTGAGTCTTGGTGATAATGTTTGTATTGGTGATCCTATTGTGGTTTTAACAGCTATGAAAATGGAAGTAAGTAAAACATGCTTTAGATAAAGAATATTTATATGTAATTTTTAATTTTAACATTATTTCAGTATGTTGTTAAAGCTCAAATTGAAGGGAAAATAGAAAAAATTTTACATAAAGAAGGGGACAGTGTCAAAAAAGGAGAATTGTTGGTAAAAATTACACCTTTAAATTGATTTTAAGTACAAACAATTGTTATACATTTTAAAAAAAATATATGACTTAATTTTATACTCGTTTTAGAATTATTACATCATTGACTTAGCAACATAGACATATTTATCACACATACATTCTAGTATTCTACTATATGTGTGATGTGTGTATTATCCGTAGAGTAATAAGAATATTCAGAGACTATACTATTTAAAGCACTACTGCTCTCGAGTGTTGATTCTTGGACATTTGTGACACTTGTAGCGCCATAATAAAAATGAATTTACGTTGTATCAACTTTATACAATGCTGTTCTGCCTAACATTGTCCATGCCAAAGTTTTCTTTTTAATACAACGTATAGGTAATGACATATTAGTACTAATTATAACATTATAGTAAGTAATATAATATGTAACTTATGGCAATCATTTAAATAAACAATGGAATATTCATGATAAAAGAACTTATTTTATCATGATAACAACTACATCAGCTGTTGATTAGAAAATTAAAATAATCACGTGGGGCTTTGTAGTTTGTTTTACAAAAAAGTTGTTCCACAAGACATTTGTTTCGTTGGACTTTTGTTCCATAAAACATTTGTTTACATAAATCATTTGTGCCAATAAACTTTGTTTCATAAATATTTGTTCCATAGAACACGTCTTGTTCCATATTTGGAATAAGTGTTTTGTAGAACAAATATTCATGCAACAAAATATATTGGTACAAATGTTTTGTGGAACAAAAGGTAAAATTTGGATCCCAAATCATTTGGAACAAATTCTACATATTATTATATAATATAATCACAATCTTATAGGGTGATTGTGTCCTATGGTGGTATACTGCCATACTGGTGTTGGCAATTCTGGTAAGTCAATCGGTCGTTCGGGCACGGTAAAATCGTTGATAACATTGATAAGAGGTCAAATATAAAATATATTTTACCTTTACTCAATTTTTATTTTTCGAAAAATTAAAAATGAAGCCCATTGTGGATTATGAAGTGGCGGCTACTGCAGATCCAACACCAATAAAATTGTTGACACCAGGGCCAGATTTCCAAAAATACCACACATCATGGTTGGAAGACAAATGGTTTCCTTTCATGGGGTTCGTATTGGGTGCGGGTTCAGTCTGGTACACCTATACAATGAATAGAAGACCTTTTTACTCTGGTGAGTTTTGTTGTTACATCAATTTAAACTCAAACTTTAGATGTATTTATATTGAATAAATAATTTTTGTTTAGGAATACATGTAAAGCTAGGTGCTGGAATCGTTGGCGCTACTGCCCTCTATTATTATAAACAATATAGAACTTCATATCTGGCAGATAAAGATGCCATGTACAGACACTACATTCAATTACACCCTGAAGATTTCCAAGCTCCAGGTTTGTAAATCAATTTACATAAAGCTAGGTATAATATATAATTTATACTTTAAAAACATTTTTATTAGTATTCAGTAAATTATCACTTGAAAAATAAAAGGTTTTCCGTCAGGTTTTTGGAAATATTAAAATAACTCTTATAGAGATTCAAATATTTTATTTTCATTCCAACTTAATGATAGAACTAATTACAAAGTATGGATTTTGAAAACAAGTTAGGACTCCTCACCTCGTGTACCTTCTAACAACTTATAACAAATTAAAAAATACATTTATCAACATTTGATTTAAGAATTTAAAAGTTTTGTGTTCAGTTTGATATACTCAACATCTATCTATCCTTTTTCCGATAATTAAATGGAAAAAAGCTGTTCGTAGAATCTAAAGTAAAATTATTATGTTAAAATCAGTTAAAAACATTACAGTTCATAAAATGTTTAATTTTGATACTTAAAATTGAGTACTAGACTCCTCATAAGTTGATCATACTGGAATTAAAAATAAAGGTTTAAGGTCAGGGCCGTTGCGACTAACAATTCTTGGGGGATCATCTTGCTTTGCTCGAAAACTGTTACTAATAAATAAATTACATTATATTACTACTGTTAAGTTTATATATACATTATATAAATAAAAATATTTTAATAACTTTATTCTGAGCATGACTGCATAAGTATATTTGAGCCATGATTATGACTACCAAAATGTATATTGGGCAATAGGCTACCTTTATATTAAATAATTAAGATATTCAGGCCAGGAAATTTTGGAATTGCCCTACCACGTTTATAAGACTTCGGTGCTGTTGTTAATAATAGTTTAAATACAATGTTACTCATAGTAATCATTATAAATCCTATAAATCAATTTTATTCTTTTAAGAAATAACTTGCACTAACATTTCATATACTAACATATTAATAAATTATGTCATAAATTACTCAACATGCATTCTTCTCAAATCATTCTTGTGGTACATTAAAATAAAGTATCAGGTATCTAATTAAAATTGTTTTGTTCCAGAACGCAAGAAAGTTGGCGAATTATTCAAGGAATGGGTTCCTGTACGCTAATTTCTAAGAATTTACAAAATTAAAATTAGTTAATCAGAGATAAATTTTCAACATTTATATTGTTAAAGTGTAAAGTAACATTAAACTTTGAATTGTAAAAAAATGTATGTCATGTAGATTATTTTTACGTACAGTTAATACAGCTGTATAATTATAAAATAACAAATATCCATAGTAATTATTGTCTATTATTCAGCTGTTTAATTAAAAATTCATTTTTTGAATTCTTAGTTAGTATCTAACTTATTTTAAAATATGGATATGAATTACTATTCAATATTACATTTAAAAAGACATTGTACCAAAGATGACATACATAAAGCGTATGCGAGTTAGCTAATTTATAATTTCCAAACAATTTCATTGATATTATTTACTATTATTTTTAGATTTGGCAAACTAGTAAATAGTCAAATTCAAAATTGTTGTTTGGTTTTGTTGTGTGAAGCATATGAGGTATTATCTGACCCATTTCGCCGAGCTATATATGATGAATATGGTGAAGAGGGTATTAAAAAAGGTGTTAATACCAATGAATTGTGCATAAGTCCATGGACTTATCATTGTAATGTGAAAAGCACATATTCGTGAGTCTGATATTATTATAATTCAATGTAGGCGAAAATTGAGTTTTCTATTGGGAAAGTGTGGGGAGTTGGCCAAAAATTATGATTTTTTTATAGCAAACCCAACGCCCATTGTTTTTAAAAATTCCAAAAATTTTCATCATATAATTTATTATAACATTAGTATAAATAAAATAGAGTCAGAGTATTATTATAATTACAACACTTATAATATATTCTGACTCCCTCCAGTGGCCAGTTTGATACGAAATACCTTGGTATTGCTATTTTTTTTGTAAACAGTCCTCATCATAAAAGACATTAAGTGTACAGATTTTGTATGAATATTATTTATGTCAAATGGTTAGTAATTAGGCCTGTGAAGTTAATGCATTAAAAAACTTTAAAATCATGAAAAAAAACTAAAAACTCTTAACAATGTATTAATAATATTAGAAGGGAGAAAAATAGATAGCTGCCCTGCTGTACAGTAGGTATTGAGAAAGTTTACACTATAATGCAAATATTAAATTTGAATTCAATCATAAATCATTGAAAATGAGAATCAATTTTGAGCATATATGGTCAGTTGACAGTTAGCCTATATTACTTAATGTAACATCTTATAATAATGATTGAATTAAATGTTTGCCGATACATTGCATTTTATTATCCATTATTATTATTATTATTATTATTATAAGTAACCAAAAGTACCACCTAGATTTTCTTTCCTATCAGAAAAAATAACTATTGAACTTCAAAATTGTGGTAATTTTTATACCTTAAATTGTGTGCACATATAAAAAAAGACATTATTATAAACCATTATATTTATAATATTACTAAAATACTTTTATAGCCCTAGTAATAATAGTACACCTATCCAGAATATCTATTATCTATGTAGGGTGGGTAGGGACGGAGTGGTCGAGTGGACTAAGGCGTCGATTGCAACTTGTGCCGTTGCCAGTTCAAACCTTGGTTACGGACAGCACTTTTCTCTGGACAAACATCTGTCTGGAGAGAGGCCGCCATCCCCAACCGGCATGGCAGAAGCCTCAGGGTGCCCAATCAAAATTCTGCCAAACACAAAACACACACTTGTTCAAAAATCTACTGTTCCTCCCTACATACAAACCAACTCTCTACCATACCACCTCACATCCAATAGCCTATGCTGTCGCGGATTCCCCCTAATAAAAAAAAAAATCTATGTAGGTAAATGAAAAAATAAAATAATACCTATCAGTCATTATTATTTCATTCACAAATTAAACAAATAAATATATTTCTATATTATATACTATTTTAAAACTTTATTTTAATGATTTTTTGGTTAATGGTGGGGTATAACTGATTTACGGGGGGAATTAATACTTAGGTATAAGCCCCCCTCCCCAAATTGTCAATTATGATGATTTTAGTTTGTCAATTTTTATGAAATATTTTGCACATTGTTTTAACAAAATGTACAATTATAGAGAGTATTGTGCACTTAATAATCCAATAACTAATTTGTTCATTAAATCAAATGGTTCAATACTTATGGATAAAAATAAAAATAAAGGTAGACCTGATATTGTGAAGTTGCGCATTCAATTAACATTAAACGAAGTAATTTTGTATGGAAAAACATGATAAAATTTGTATATAATTACTAATTAGCAAATAATTCTTAGATTTTTAATGGATCAATAAAATCAGTTAAAATTAAAAGAAAACCTAATATTATTTGTGTTTCAAAATCAAATGAAATACAAGTTCTGAAAATAAAAATACCTCGTGGGTTTCCCACAGGAGGAACATTAAAGTCTGAGGTATCAAAGCCAGGCATAGGACATAAAAATGTTAAAAGTATTGTATATTACCTATATAGGTATTTATATGTCTGTAAATGTGAAGCAAATAGAGAATAAATTAATTTTAAATAATGTATTGAATAGCTCTATACATATTTACTACAGAGGATTTACCCCATAAAGTTTTCAAACGAGATAATATGAATTTAATTATGGTTCAAAAGGTCTTGTTGAAACAAGTATTACTTGGTACAAGAATCGTTATTACCACATTAGACCATAAAATATTAAGAGTAAACATCACGGAAGTCATCACGTAAGAAGCTAAAAAATAAACTATTAATTCAATAATTATTCAACTTCAAGATTAATTATTTTTTTAAATGTTTAGGCAAGATTATGTTAAATTAATCCACAATGAAGGGATGCCTGATATGAATGATCCAACACAACGTGGTGACATAATCATCCGGTTTGACATAATTTATCCTCTTTATTTATCAATTACAGATGACACATTTTGTGAATTATTTAAAGACAATAAAATAAATACTTAAGTAGTTATAATTGTTTTACGCATATATAATCAGTATGATCATATTATGTCAATATAATTTTATAAAAAAATATGTTACCATATGCAAATCGTTTCATTTTATGAACCTTTTACACTATTTAATTTTAGAAAAATCTACCTAATAGTTGCTATTACAACATTGCTGTTTACTTATTGTTGTGGATACAATCAATTGGTCGTTTTCAAAACTTCTGCTGCAATAGTGTAATACAATATTTGCAAATTAATATAAATAATAAATAAAATATGTATGATATGAAAAAATAATATGTTGTCATTTTTCTTAAAACATTTTTAGTTATGAGCTATCCCTATTACCCGGTATAGTTTTCTCCCTGTTATTCTTTTAGCTTCGATTTGGAAAAATCAAACAAATGAATATGCTATTTTGGTTAAATTACTTAAGATGGAATATTCATCTGGATGTATTCTGGTTTTGCATTTTTTTTTTTAATTCCATTTTTTTCACACATACCTATTCATTTAGTTTTTTTTCTGTATTTTATATTTTCAAAACTAAATAAAAAAAGCCCTACGAAAGAGCATATCTTTGTTTCTTTCACTTTTTATAAAATTGAGAGGCACATTAACTATTATTTTTATATTTTTGTATTAATTATATTAACTATATGATGTAACACTATAATGCACAATCTATGAGTCAATTGAAATGTGTGCACATTATACAGGAAAAACATACTTGTATTTCAGATAAATTACATCCGATAACATTTATTATTGTAATACAACCCTATAAGTGTTATAATGATAGTTGTACATACGTATAATATCCTGTGATTCAACTTATATCGCAAAATGTATAGGTACATATAACATTTTATACATAGTGGTCATTGACCATTTGAATTTGCATAGCGTTCTCAAACGTGTATAAGTCTCTCAACAAAAAAATACCACAACCAATTGACGTAACCTCTTGATGCACTGAATATTCTATTGAAATCTCCATTTTAAGAACAGGAGTACTTGGTTAAAATTGATTTGATGCACTTTTGGTTGATTCAAAATCTAAATTAATTTTAATTTTTAACATAAAATTAATTTTTACTAATCCATAACTCCAAATACTTTCGACCTTTTTTATTAAACAGATATACCAATCATAAATAGATTGTATTCATACTAAATAAATCAATATTCCAATTTGGACTTAACCTAACCTAACCTACCGTTTGGTCTTAAAATCAAATCTCAGGGAAAATTAACTCAATATAATATCTATACTTATATATATAAAATAATTTGTTATGAGTAGAGTTAGGATGTTGATGACCTAAAAAACACACAAAAATGCCCTAAAAAAAGGCAAAAAAACCCTAAAAAAAATGCAAAAAACCCTAAAAAAAGTGCAAAAATGCTCTAAAAACTTCAAAAAATGACCTTAAAAATTATCTAAAATACTAATTAAGTAAGTGAAAAAACTTATTTATAAATAATAATTTTTATTAGAGATATGGGTATAATAATGGGTGTAATAGTAATTTAAAATATGAATTATAAATATATTAAGCATTTAAATAATTCAATATATAACACTCAAAGAGTAAATCTTATTGGAACGCGATAAATGTAATCACAATAATAATATTAAAATTATTTTTTACTAATTGTCCAAATCCAAAGTTAGATTTTAAATAAATTAAATTTGTATCCAAACTTGGGTGTAACATTTGCCCTAAAATCTATAATTTGTGAAAAATGCCCTAAAAGATGAAAAAATGACTTAAAAATGTTGAAAATGACGTTAAAAAACAAAAAAAATGTATTTATAGCTGAAAATGCAAAAATGCAAAAAAATGCAAAATAAAATTAGAATATTCTGCATCAAGGGAGCATGAAACAAATTTTTAGCTAGGATAGCATTGTACAGAATAAAAGGAAAAAAAATGCAAAAGTCATCAACAAAAATCAGTCGACCGATTAATTATTCTCTTTTGAGATAGAGTACAGTTAAATTTATCATTTTATACAATGATTCAGGCATAACTTGTAAATTGATTGTTGTTACACTGGAAAAATTAATTAATATAATTAAATCAGTTGGTATAACTAAATAGTAATATTAATAGCACACTTTATACCTACAATATTATATTACAAACTCATTTTAGTCCTGTCGATATTTTAACCATAATGAAACTTCACACAACTATTATAACATTGCTATGGTCACAGGATATATTTTTATATGTAAAAGTGAGTTTAGGCCTTGAGAGATCATATTATATTATTAGATTATTTGAGTATACATAGGCGATTATTAAACAACTGACGTTTCAGTCTCTATTAATAAAATTGATTTTTGAAAATTTAAGGGAACAAATTAAACTAATTTTTAATGACTAAATTCTCAATTCCGAAACCCTCCCTTTTTAAAATACTATTAATTTAAACTTAACTTAGCAAATATGCTATAAAATAAAAATAAAAACAAAATGATTACAAAATGTTACAGAATGGCATAGTGCATACTGCTGCTGATTGATTAATACATTATGTATTTGGGTACATTTTAGTAATTTATTCATTTTATGTAATGATATTTCAATGAATCCCAGGAAAAAATAAAAATTTTTAAAAATTTAAAATATTTTAATTCATTATGAAAATTAAAAAAATAGATACATACATTTGTAATTAGTGTTTAAAGAGATCACTTATTACACGGCCTGATATCACATAGAAATTGCCTATATTGAATTCCAAGAACGGTCGGTATCCAATCCCCTTAAGAAAAATTTATACTTAATTTAATATTAAAATTATAATATTAGGTACTGGAAATTCCCTATGTAGAGATCATAGTAATCTGATATGTGATGTTTTCATATAATCAAATGATTTATAAAATAATTTGTATAGTATGTAACGGAGCATTTATTTTTTGTGATAGTAATTTGTTATATTTTTAAAATGTTTAAATGTGTGCTTAATAAGTGATCACTTTACACACTATTTACAATATTTTTTTAATATTCAAAATCAATTAGTATTATATTTAAAATTTTAAAAAATTTTCTTTTATTCCGTAGTCTTTTAAACCTATTACTTATTTCAATAGTCGTCTACTTGTCTCTTTTATCAACCTATAAGGTTAAAAATGCCAAAACACACAAAATAAATAAATATAAGATCAAAATAAATTTTAATAACTTAGTTTACTGTAAATTTACAATACAAAAAGGAGCATCACATAAAGAGTTCTTTAAAATAATTTTACTTTGATGGGTCACCATTTTCATCGAATTTTATTTTTTTATTTGGTTTTTCTATAGGTTGAGACCTTCGTTTCTTATCTTCTGGTGTCCAAAGAGCATGATCAATAAATCTTTCGGCAGCTTTTTTATCAACTCTTAGCATATTTTTTTTGGCCATGGCACCTTTAGCCATATCCACAGTAGATTTTACACGATCCAATTCTCGTTTTATATTATGGGAAGTTGGATCAACACCATCCAATCGCAAGTAAACCCAATATAAGCTATTCAATGCAAATGCAATTAGTAGATCATGCTTAATTTTTTCTTCCACTGACAGAGAGTTGTAATCTATATCCATTCGTGATTCAAGTAATGTTTCAATATCTACAATTGAATGGTCCAAATTTTGAATACTTGCTACTAACTCTTCATCTTTGAGTAATTCTTCATCCAAGTCCAATGTTGCCATTTTTATTTGATCTAAATAACAAAAATTGAAAATAAAATAGTTGTTATTTTTTTTCTCATATCACTAACCAATAATTTTCAATAGCTAAATGAAAAAACCTAATTTTCTAACAATTAATTATTAACTAAATAATAAAATACCTATGACACAGATAAAGGTCTTCCCTATGTGTTGTGGAATTTTGATACTTCTGCTATAAATATAGAGGGAGTATGATTGTCTTGTGCCAATTTTTGTTATGTTGTACATTTGTAAGGAGATAACACATGTGGGTGTAGCGTCCTCTTAATTAATTTAGGGTTTACTCAGAAAATTGTTAAATAATATTTTTAAAAAAATCATGTTCCTTAGGTAAGTCTTTTCTAGCAGTATAGTTTTTTTGGTTGGTAAGTGTTTATAAATTTATTAGTGGTATTAACTATTATTTTATTATGTTTAGGAAAATTATAATCATTAGTAAAATTCTTATTACGCCTGCTTATGTGCCTGTGTAGGTACTGCAGACTTTGTATGGGTACGAATAGCTTATTAATTAAACTCTATAAACTATGTGAGTTGTGATAGTTTTCAGGTGAACATTTTGGTCACTGTTCTAAAAAGATTTAGAAGCATTGATTAGTTGCACACAACTGTACAAATTACATGTACCTGGGTAACCTTGTCAAATTGCAGTCATTTATTTAATTTCATCTTTGAAATTAATGTAATGACTATGCTGTTCCAATAATATGATGTAAATAGTTTAATTCAATATCGTAAACTGTAAGACTCACCAAGTTCGTAGACCTCGGTAGAAGGAAAATGAGTTGACCAACAATTTATTAAAGTCGGTAAAGTGTAAGATGAACGTTCGATAAAATATTATCGTCACAGTTACAAGATAGTATTGCTTAATACTTAATTAATTTAAACAATTATTATGTCTCGATCATGCTACACGCATAAAAAAAACTAAAAAATATTAGACAACAGACCGATCAACTGATGTAGACGCCAGAGACCTAAGTGCCGGAGCCGGACCGTAATCATAGATAAAGGAAAGATCTATTTATCTATGGACTGTAATCAGTTTATATTTTACATTATGTTATCTTCCTATAGTTATCAGTGGCCATATACATAGATAAACAACTATAAAAAAAATAGATAGCCGACTATCCCCAAGCACTGAACAGAAATACAGAATTTTGAAGTCAGTTCACCTTAGATCATATTAGTATATGATTTAAGCAGTTCACCGTATAACCACAGATTATATGAAAACAGATTGTGCACTTCCTATGTTACAATGTAAAAAATGAATAAGGTGCTCTGATTGATCGGCTCCCAAATCAGGGTGACCACAAATACCAATGCTAATTTATTGTGTATACCATATTAACACAGAGCAATATTGTGATATTAATGAAGTTTGAATCACGGACTAAGATAATATATCTTGGTATATCTTAGTCCGTGGTTTGAATTAAGCTCAGTGAACTATAGGATTTCAATTTTCAACTCAATGCTCATAAGTCACAATATTATACTTTGGTAAAAGTAATAGAAAAGTAAAATATGCAAATTGTTGTCTACAAAAAATATACTTATTTACATTTATCACAATATCAAACAGTATATTGACAATATTAAAAAATGTTGCAATACAGATAAATTACAAATAACTTTCAAAAAATTAAATATTGTTATTAAATATTTAAATGACAATTATAAATAAATACATATTAGGTATAAATTATAAACAAAGTTAAGTACAACTTTTATAACAAATGGCTTTCTTTTAAATTTATTTATACATGATTTAATATACATAATTTTCTATTTTTTTTTTGTTTTTTCAGATATTAAATTCCTATCTAAAAATTTAATTAGCAGCATGAATCTTTTGTTGAAAAAACATTAGTCATGATTAACTATAACTTAATACCAACTTCATTTTCAATAGATACTTGTGGAAACCTATTTATAAAAATGTTTTCTAACTCATCTATATATATAATTATAAAATTCATATTGTGACATTTCTTTTCCTTTTCTCTCTCCAATAATATTTCAGCAATAAATAAAAGTTTTATTTTTATTTTAAAGTAGTTCATTCATTTTAATGGAATTAGCAGATGCATTGAAAAAAAATTATAACATTTGATAATAGTAAAATAAATTTTATTTAATTAAAATGCATTATTGTATTAAATTATAGCAAACAAATTACAATTTTACAACTGCACAGTTTAAATGACTTACTGTACAAGAAGAAAAAATAGTATATAATAATTAAATTAATATAAATAAACTTATAAATCTGTAATTCGCTGGATTGGACCATCAGGCCTCGGGGGTGCATCAATAGATCATTTTTTGAGAAGAATTTTGGTAGCTGAACTAACCATATGCATCTCTCAGCCGTGTAATCGCAGCACGAGACGACCGCCGAGACGATAAAAAATTTATTACTTTTGACTTCTGGTCTTTATAATTGATAAGATTATTATGACCCGTGCCGATTTTATCTTCAGTGGGGTGAACTGCGCGACACCCAGCCAAATGGGTATTTCAATACATTTAAAGGCATAAATTAAGTTTTGTGTATACTTAGTGAGTTTATTTGAAAAGTTTTCTATCTTTTGCCCTGGAGCATAAAAATCCTAATAGCTGCGGTATCTACTGACGAGGTATAACGCATTTCCACACAATAACCACCAGCCAAAACCACCCAACTTTGAGCAGCAACATCTCATCAACCGATTAACGAAAAATGAAAATTTTAATGTGATAATTCATAAAAAAAAATATAGCCTTATTAATTTATGAAATTTAAAGTAAAGGTTACCACTTGAAAATCAAAAGTTAATAGTGGTTTGCCTAATAAATATAAGGCTGAAAAATATAAAAATATATATAATTCGAAACAGCGTAAATCTAAAATTTTGAAAAAAAAAATTGAAAAAAGTAAATAAACTTTTTGAAATATTGAGTGTTCTTTGGTTAAAGAATCACCCTGTATAACACAAAGAATAATTAAACTTGATGCCTATATTGAAGTATTAAATTATTTTTTCTTTGTAATGGTCGAACGGGCGCATGTAAATTCCACCCGAAAAAAATACAGGTAAAGACACATGTAAATTCCGCCCGAAAAAATGTATTACTATTAATAAACAAATTTCTGAATGTGTCTTATTAATCATATTATTACTGACATAACATAGATTAAACATTATAATTTAGAAGTGGGTATTTAAATAAATATATATTTCACATATTAAGTCAATAATGACAACATCAATCATGTATAATCGTAAGAATAGTAATAATTATAAAAGTAAATATAACAATCATAATATTATAGTAAAATTAAATCATAATCAATAATTAGCACAATATATATAAAAGTATTAAAAATCGTAAAATAGTAAAAAAATATTTATTTTTCAGGGCAGAACTATTTTTGTACCTGTATATTTTTCCGGGTGGAATTTACCATAGACCTTGTTTTTACCTGTTCATTTCGGGCGGAATTTACAATCTACCGGTGGAACTGCACTAGGGTAAAAAACAGGTAGTGGTCGAACTGCACTTGGGCTCAAAAAAATATTTTAATAAAATTATTACTCATTTGAAGGACTTTTTTTTTTGCTGAATTTGAAATCATTCTCCGCGGTTAATTAAGTGGTTCTTCATGAATATGTATCAATTCAGACCGAAAAATTACTTTAGAAAATTCATCTAGATAAAGTTTTGAAAGACAACCACGATGGGTACAACGCCATTTAACACCATTATTTACATGTTTTTCTTTCTAAAATGTATAATTTTGATACACGATTAAGTCATGGCCTCGTTCACTTGTAATAATTGTTAAACTGTTCATATTTACACAGCGACGCAATAAAAGTATAAATCTTATATGAGTTATTTAAATGGCACGAACTAATATATAATGCAATTAAATAAGTGCACCGTTTTCCACTTTAATTCTTTTTTTGAATGCGTGCAGTTCGACCACTACCTGCTTTTTACCTGAGTGCAGTTCGACCATTACCTTTTTTCAATCCAAGTGCAATCCGACCATTCATTTGTAGGTAATAAGTGCAATTCGACTATCCAAGTTGCGGTCGGGAAACACTATAATTATATATTTTACATATCATAGTTCCACATTTTAAAAATTAAAATAATGTTGAAGTAAAAGTTAAGTTAAAAAAATAAAATTAAATACATTCATATTTGTAGGATAAACATTTTACAAATGTTAGTGAATTAATTTCTTTTTTCATATATTGATTGATTTTATTTTTTATATAAATTTCTGACTAATACTTTTTATTAAATTCTAAATCTAAAGAATTGAGTCTTGGCAAATTAAAGTAAAATGTGCTCGGTATATCGTTAATACGACAACGTCTTGCCATAAACTGACACTGCATCTTGGATAAGCGCTTATCGGATAATCGATAATAATAATATACGGACTGCAATTCGGTCGGTAATTTTACCTTCAATATTATTACGAGTGTAATTCGTCTATTACGATCGTAACTCGGACACTACTAAAATCCCAGTGGACTTTACATTTTTTTTCAGGTAAACAAACGTACCAGCGAAATTCAATTTTTTTCCGATATTAAAAAAGCCCAGTGGAATTTACTAGAAAAAAAGGTTTAAAAAGGTCGCCATCGGTGGAATTTACATTGGGCCCCACATCACTTATGCAAATAATATTACCTGTTTATCTAACTGATATTCTGGCGAAGTTCACAGTCGCCCCTCTAAAGTTGTACAATAATCGCACAACACAAATAAGGTACATATGACTGAAAATGTAAAATGCGTCTACCTATAAACCATATTGACTAAAACCGTGTTGAAATTGAATGAGTAGTGAATCAGTTCTAACTGATTATAATTTGTAAATGAAAAATATTAATTAATTTTGAGTTATATCGTTTTATTTTATATTGTAAACAATATTTTAAAAAGAACAGCAATTTTATTTAAATTGTTTGTTTCTCACATTATGCGATATCCATCGGAATATTGTACATACACGGGACTATAGTATGACAACGAGAGGGCGCCAGTGGTACACGATTGTCGTCGTCGACGGCAGACTCAAGGCCGCCGTATTTCGCTGTCGTATTGTTGTACGTCAAAACGTCGTATTCTATACTGATCGTGTTGTGTTCAAACTTCTTTTTACAAATTCGTATGTATTTACGACTATTTAACAAAAGAAAAAGCAAGTTTGTGTAGAAACAGTAAACGAAATACGTGTTTTTGGAAAATAATACTTCGTGTATGCGTCTGTTTTTTTCTGACGGTAGATGGCGCAATTGAACTGTACCATTTCTTTGATCGTATTGTCGACAATTAATCTATCAAATAATATATTTAATTACAATTATCTTCAACCAGTGAAGTGTAACACGTTAAATATTGACGTTTATGACCATTTCCCAAAATGCGATTTTTCGAAAATCGATATTTTCGCTTTTTCGAACACGCTCAAATTTGAAACTGCAATCGTCTTAGAATTGCTTCTATCTTTAAGATACCTCAGTGATGTTTTTTGAGTATCGCTTCTCGGCCTATCGGCTAAGATCAAAGTGTAGTATCTGTTCTTATCAGCTTAACATCTGATACACCTTTCATTGAAAGGTTCAAATGTTAAACTAATTTTTTCAAATTTGGTGGAGATTTTGGGGCTTGCTCCTGCTCCACCGCGGGTTGACCCGGTATTGCAGTACCACCGGGAACGGCCCACATATCAAACATTAATACTATTAACTGGAAGAATTCAATCTTCAATTTTGAATTTGGAAAAATATTTTTTGAAAAATTTTTGAATTTTGAAATTTTGAATTTTCAAAAAAAAATTTTGGAAATTTTTGAAAATTGAAGTTTTGGAATTTCAGATTTTTAGAAGTTATATGTTTTTCGTCATCATGAATACCGAATGGTTCAAATTTAAGGATTTTGAATCTAAACATTCAAAGTTAAAATTAGAGATTCTCAAATACTCTTTGTTTTGTAATATACTAAGTAAGTAATATACTATTTCTGAACATTTTCGATCAGAAAAAAAATGTTTATAAAAAAATATTGTTTTACATATTGATGAGTGATGACCACAGTCTACAACTAGGGTTATTTCATTAAATCCATGCAAAACGTTTCGTTTTGTTTGAAAAAAATAGTAGAATACAACAATTAATATAAACGAATAAATTATTATTTGTATTTAGTCGTGGAAGGA